TTACTCTTTGCTGCTGGTCGGTTTGTTCCACGACTGACGGTACGACGAGCGCCTAGCTCAGTAAACCTGAGAAATTCACACGCACCCGACGCACTTAAAATGACGTGCAAGTTCGCTTACGCGGTTTAAAGTCTTTGTAACTAGCATGTAGTTTAAAACTTAAAACTCCTCAAATGTTTCAGAAATAGAGGATGGTTAAATGTAGCATTCAACTATTCGCTACATGCAATGTCAAGATCATCCATAGCGTGTAGGGGGAAGGGGTATTTTGATCAGGAAACCCATGGAAACAGCATACGGCCCGTTGACCAATACAATTCCAACTTTCCTGTTCACTTAACGTACTTACAGGTTTGTGTGTCATTGAGGCTTTCCGGCGCACTCAGCTGCTGAGGCTATATAGCGTCACCTACCTCAGGTCCTGGCAGGAAGGCGGGCACCGCGGTAAATCGAACCCCGTACCTCTGGTTTTCCCAGACGCGCGGTGGCTAGCGCAGACGCGTTAACCACTACACTACCGGCACCCCTACTTACAGCTTTGCGGGGATTTGTCGAGGAGTAAACATATGAGCTTAACTTTTCGATCAAATGACGTAACGCACGTCAACAACTAACACGCATGATGACATTAAGCCCTGAAGGTCCTTTCGTTTCAAGTGTCATTATATGTTCTTACTTTATTTATTATGTGTCTTGGTGGCATCATTTAGTGTTTTTGACCCGGGGATGCATCATGACATAAAAACTTCACTATGTCGGAACACCGGCAGACGTACTACAAATACGGGTGCGTTGACCTTTGGCCGCCATCCGCCGTTCGCGAATCGAAAAGGCAAGCGAACATATCACTCACGAATAAGTAATGGTATGAGCAAACCGGGTTTTCCAACGCCATTTTTTATCCAAGTCAAATAGCCGTGCTCGGGGTGACTCATTTTCTACTACACACCACGTCGCACCACTGGGATGGCCAAATTTTGCATTGCGATGGAGGTCCCATGTTATTAGCCGCGATCGGGATCACTCATTTTCTACTACACACCACGTCGCACCACTGAGATGGCCAAATTTTGCACTGCGATGGAGGTCCCATTTTGTTAGCCGCGATCGGGATCATTCCTTTTCTACTTCACGCCACGTCGCACCACTGGAATGGCCAAATTTTGTACTGCGTCGGAGGTCCCGCTTTATTAAGCTTTTCCTTCACACGCATTAAACAAAAAATTGTCGAAAAACCTGTGAAACCTAGGCCGAAACATTCGAGATACCCAATCGTCTGCAATGCGACCGTATGACCCAAACGAAATTTAAGTAACGGCTTCTAAACCGTCCAAAAAAAAACGCCAAAATAAGAACATCTAGTTGCGCGTCATTCACCAACGCCTAACACCAGGACACTCTGTCCTTGCAGGCGCGAACCATACCTGTCTCAAAAACAACATGAAACGAACACTTGCTGGCGAGGCATTCCCATCCGCAAAACTCACCATTTTTCCCTCCACGCGCCGAGCCTTGTCCCGCCCGCCGGACCGTTCACCACTGAGGTCAGGGCCGGCGGCGGCCCGGGTCTGCCCCGCGGCGGCTGACCGGTCATCGCCAGAGGCGCGCCCAGGCAACGGACAGGGGAGGCGGGACAGGTCCAGCGGTAGCCAGAGGAGCGCCCACGCGGCAGGCAGGGGAGGAGGGACAGGTCCAGTGGGGGCCAGGGGCGCGCGCGCACAGGCGACGGGCAGAGGAGGCGGGACAGGTCCAGCGGTAGCCAGAGTCGCGCCCAGGCGGCAGGCAGGGGAGAGGGACAGGTCCAGTGGGGGCCAGAGGCGCGCCCAAGCCACAGGCAGGTGAAGTGGGGGCAGGTCCAGCGGACGCGTGGAGGGGGAGAGGGTGGGGTTTCAGGTGCAGTTGGGCCGGGGCTCCCTGAGTACGTCTGAGATGATTTTATAAACTGCAAATGAAGATGGCGGAACTATTCACGGACTGCATTGTTAGGATCCGGTCCAGCATAATGTGGCTGATCTGGATCCAATGCTCCCGTCAAGGACAATGCCAATTCTGCCGCTAATCCGCTCTTTAATTCCAATCCGATTCTGTTATCCAATTCGTAGCATTCCGGCTTACCACAAAATTGGCCTTAGGTATTCTTGCCAAACCGCTCCCGCATTTTGGACTTTTTAATGTATTAACAACGAAGTGATACAGCTAACAACATTTAGTTTTGCTTATTCGTTATGTGCATGTATTCGCATTCGTCGTCCCTAATGTCCAATGCTTTCAAAATATGAGAGGCTAATATGCTGTTTTCATTGTTGCTATTCGCTGCCTTGCACCACGGATAAAATAAAGATGCGTAAGTCCATAGGTATATAATTCCCACTGATCGGCAACACCCATGTTAGATTACTAGCAGACGTGCACACTCAAAGGAGGACCATCAGCTGTAAAGTGGTGTAGACTCGCAGGCAAACTGGAAAAAATCTTCCGTAAACCGGGCGAGTGCAGGAAATGCAGCGTGCGGAAGACAAATCCCTAAAATGCAGCTAAGAGTACGTGTTGATGAACTGGCAGGTTACAGGCATGGTGCAGTAACTACCATGCTTTATTTGCAAATCCATTGAAATTGTGCCACACCATGAATTACTACGTGAAATTAAACACACCATTGCATGACTCGCCTCCAGCCCTGCGTTCAATAACTTGCAACAATTACTGCTAACGACTGTGCCCATTACGCGCTCCAATTGATCTCATTGCTGAGGCATGACACTCTGGCGTGCAGAGAATCATCTATAAACAATAAATACATAATTTGGCGCAAAATAATAGCTTATTTCTCATTCATGTTTATGCTATTTTTTATTACATTATGTTATTATTTATTATCTTATGTTATTATTTATTATATCATGTTATTATTTATTATTATACCTCATTCTCATTCATGTTTAAGCATTTATTCATTCATGTTAACATGTTTCTGCTGTTACCTAAACCGGTATGTGCAGGAAATCATGTTGAAAACGTGATCGTGATGCCGATGTCGTTTCTTGCGGTGAGGCAGTGTTTTAGGCGTGCTGGTTTCTGCTGTTGGAATTTGACTCGCCGCAGGCGAAACTTCAAGTTGCAGTGCGTTGGAATTTTTGTATCTGAGGCGCTGTAGTCGCGGTCGTTAGGTCAAGAAGGTTGTAACCAATGACGATCTGCCTTATCTGGCGACCTCCGCACATTCTAGTCGTCATTAAAGTGTTGAAGCTAGATGTGAGGACATCAACTTAGCCAAACCTTTCAGATCGGTGGGTTCTCTACATTGCCTTCAAAGCCAAATCGTGCAGTCTGCTTTCACCATAGTCTCTGTTGAGTGGTGCTCGAACTGCGACAAACAGCTGTTACAATTTAATAGAAAAAAAGCCTGGGGAACAAGAACAGCGTCAGATACGACAATTCCGTGGATTATTGAAGAACATATACGTAAAGAAAAAGGTTCAGTAGCATTAGCACGCGCCCGGGTGGCCGGCTAGATTCCCTTTGCTCGGGTGGGGCGTTCACTTTGACGCCCCCCTGAGATCTCGGGAGCTAGGAAAGCTAGAGACACCAAATGTACAGGGTGTATCGACCTGTAGGTGAATTCACTTAGGTCAAAGTTTCAGGTTCCTAGGTTGATATATGACCTTCAGGTCAAATAAAGTCAAACAAGGTCAAATTACAGGTTGGTCTCAGTGTCCCCAGAACCTAGATAAGTGTTTCTGAGCGAAAGGCCACATGCTTTTTTAAGGTAAGTGATCTCGTTTGACCCTTTCAAGGGCATGGCGACCAAAAGCATGCAAGACTGCTCTGAGTTTTGCATTTGAATAGGCGACAAAAATTACGCTAGGCAGTGAACTTCTAAAAACAAAATGTTGACCTGGGTCATTTCAGGTCAATGACCTATTCCGACCTCTAAGAAGTCCATGCAAGATATATTATGCGGTTCCTGTTATCACTAAATTCGAAATGAG